TCTACCAGTCATTTTGAGTTTTCAACAATATATTTTATTTGCACATCTTTAAGCAATGAATGAGATATTTTCCAGTTCCAAATTTTATTATCACCACATTGCTCATTTTTGAACCCTTTTGTGCAATTGAATAATATAATATAATCATTTTTGAACCCTTTTGTGCAATTGACCTTGTGAAAAAAAAAATTCCTGGAGACATTTAAATGACCGCAATCATGAGTTTCTCAAGTTGATGTTAAGTGATGATTATCCCATAGAGTCATTAATGATGAACTGCTGTTCTAAACCATTCTTCTCGAATATAAACTTTCAACTTGCCATTCAAGTCCAAGATTGACTGTCCACCCCCTCGTCATAAAATGACAAGGGGACAACTGTCCTACCCTGATGCATCTAACAGATGTTTCTGTTGCCCTGAGACAAATGTCATATGTGAGTGTGTGTGGGCCATTGTGCAGTTTAACTCATTTCACATGCTGAATATATGGCTGCGCAAATTCCCTTTTGCCCTTCAATGAAGACAAAATGGATAGATGGGCCAAAACTCTGTGATGGGTGAGAGAAATGTGGCCCACACGCCACAATTTAAACCCTGCTTGCTCCTTCTTAATATTAAGATTTAGTACACCTTTATTTGTCTAACACTGTGTAAACTTGCATGTTATTCTTGGGAAATTGTGCAAAACTATGGGCTAAGAAGTATATATATACCCGTATGGAACTGTCATAGATGTGCAGTATGACATACCATAGTGAGTCACATCTTGTTTTAAATAAATGACTCCACATTAACTTAACCATCCGACAGTTCTCACTCTGTTACCTCGCACTATGCTGGTTATATGCTGGGATTTTCTTTGCCTAGTATTAAACCAAAGTGGTCACCGTGTCTGTGTAAGAAGAGAGGCCTTTTATTACAACACCTGCACCGTATTCTCTCACTGTATTCTCTAATGTTTTTGGCAAATTTGCCACATTTTCAATTTCAACTGGTCACCCACCCCATATTTAGGAAGACAGATGAGAAGTCAATGACAAATTCACTTAGTATAGATCATCTGTAAGTGTGTGTGTCCTTCTAAAAACCCATTAGCTTCTGCCCTCTCTTCCTTTATTGTGTTCAGACAATAAGTGTCGGACCTGGTTTATCTTTATGTCCGTTACAACACGGTTTCACAGTGACAGAGAAACACAGTTCATTACAATCATTTCAAACGGGCCAAGAACAAAGGCTCATACGAGGTCAATAATATGACCCTTTGGTCCCTAAACCTCTGAGGCATCAAAGATAATAAGACACACCATACAATATTGGCAGTATTGACATTTAAGGCAGCATATTATTTTGTATGCCTAAAAGAAATGTTGCCATGGTATATTAGGGTCAGGTTGCTATTAGAAAAAATGAACAAATAAATATGTCTGATAACTGAGAAAAGCTTCTCAAACTGAAGAAACCTTATTTTTTTATTGATTGCTAAATAACTATATTTTTTACCCAGTTGCCTTGGTGCAGACCTGTTTACTTACACTAGGAGCTTATGTGTGTGTGACATATATTACCACCATGAACATAATTGAAAAGTGCCCCGAAGCCATGGCATCATGTTTTTTAAACAAGAAATGATCCGTAAGCCCATGGCATGTAGTGTTTCGCAGGAGGCCCTCTTTGGAAGGAAAGTGATTTATTGGAGGCTGGGGCAAATGAGCCAAGGCATGGGGGGTTTCGGATGGTATGAGGTTTGACATTTATCCATATGAGAATGTTAAGGGGAGCTAGGCACCAAGTAATCACAAGTTACCTCCACTGCTACCTTGGAGGTGCAATTCCATCCCCTCAACAGAGACTGACAAAGCCCAGTGGGGATATCAAGTGACTCACTCTTGCCTTCTCGCGGTGAAAGCAAATGTCTGGCTGACAACACTAAACAGCTAGACCAAAGGGTGGCACAGTCACCTTATTTAATGCAACAACAAAAAATATCAACACCAATATTCATGTAACCAGCAATTTCCATTTCTGAGTAAAAAAAATAAAACTCTCATCAATCATTAGTCCTGCTCCTCCTGCAGCAGCCAAATTTCAGTCACAGCACTGAACCAACAAGCACACACACACCTCTTGCCAGAAATAAAGATTGGACAGTTCCATTTGTTGCACAAGGTCAGGGCTACGGTGTCCAAAACAACCTTTATATCTTCGACACAGAGTACTTCCAGGCTGGCAGCTAAAGAGTGGAAGTGCTACAAAAAACTCACTTATGACAATAAACCTGTCCGGTGGGTGATTAATTGTAAGCTATCAACATTGCAGCAGCATTATTACCAACACAATTCTTCAAATGACATTTTATCCATTGCAGTGTTGATGTATTTTGAAGAAAGAAAATCATAAATATAGAGTATTGTGTGTAAACAGATACCATACTACTCATACTGCTTATAATTTGGTTACATTACTTGTAGGGATTCCAGACAATATTAACAAAAGACAGCACAACCTGGACTGTGGTTATTATCATTATCAAACAATATTAAAATGGTTAAATGGTTAGTTTTCAGGCTGCCGAATCCTACTGGTTGAGAGGGTTCAAACAGGTTTTTAACAATGATCCCAACTGTTACTGCAATTTATACGCATTATTGAAAATAAATTGATTATTTATCAAGCGCATTACCTTATTTTTCCCAGGAATCCTACAAAATTCATGTAGGAAGGAAGAATTACACTGTGGTTCACTGATGTTCAAAAAAGCGTATTTTGGTTTGGTAAGTGAAATTTAATTGTCAGCACATAAGATAATGTATAATGCAGTGATGTGGATACAAAAAACACAGATAAAGGTTGATTCTTCACTGGAATAACATCAGATATTAAATTAACCTTCATGTCCAATCTGGAAGTTAACCAGGAAAGGATCTGTGGAAAGACACTGGAGAGGGTGAGGGGTTGTGCTGTCCCAGAGCACATCATTATACTGTAACACACACTCCAGCACATGCCATTAGTCCAAATTCTGCCCATTACTGAACTGCCATTAGTCTAAGCTGGGAGGGCTTCTTGTCTACAGGCAGGTTTCAGGAGTTCTACTATTTTCCTCTTTCGCTTCCTCTACAAATACTAAGCCTAATAAAATTATTGCCCTGAGTCATCTGCTGTCAACTAGAGCAGCGGCTGGCCTTTACAATGCCATTTGCTACACAAAGAAAAGACACCACAGTTGTTACCATTTCATTTCAATGAATGAATATTTGTTCAAGTCAAGATAAGACATTTTGGTCTGCTACAGCAAAGGTCACAGAATAAATCAGCTGTTTAAATTCAGACAAAATTCAATTGACGCCTTAACTACTGTATCTAATTTTGTATGGAAGGCTGGTTAAAACTACATGCTTAAATTAGCAAATACCAAACACAACACCTACTATATGAAAAAAAAACAGGCTACAATGAACAACTGTTTATCCAACATTTTGACAAATACAAGCCTGTGCAATACGTCGGTATAACAAAACAAAAATATCTGCAGTTTATATTATTTTGGGGTGACTTTTTAAAAAAGATCAATAACCTCTATTTTTCTTTCTCCAGAATGTCCAATGATTGTAAAATTAAGGGCAAAAAGTCAAGGGCAAACATGTCTATTTCATGTTATAAATTCAGAGGGTTACGAGAGTTAATAAAATCATCTTTTCACGGGTAATGTATTAACTCCAGTTTGAGTGTGAGTTTCCTCTATTGTTGTCCAACACAAAAATGCATGCACAAAATGACCGTGTGTTGACAGGCCGGTCACCTGTCAAGGCTGATCATGCAGAAAACTGGGTGATGTGTGCATCTCTAAAATATGCGCAAACTGCCCCAGATTAATTGGGGAAATATATTTACTGCATATAAAATAAATAAAGTTCCAAAGACATGAATCATCTATTGGGTTGGAGGGGCATGGGGGGTCTTTTGTTTTCACATGGTTCATTGAATTTCATCAGGGAGACATGATGAAGACAGTTGTCCCGTGACATTTTGGACCCGTCACAACTACAGCACCAAACTGTCGAGGTCCAGCTGCCGATTACAGTTGCATTTGTTTCTTCCTATGCTGACAAATGGGCTTCTTGTTACATTAACAAAGACAACTGAAGTCAACTTTGGTGACATTGAGCAAAATGATTGTGTTGGTGTTTGTGCATGCATGTGCGTGTGAGCCTGCGAATGTGTGTCTGGCTAAATAGCTTCAGTAGGGTCCCTGCATTCCAGCGGCTGTTCTGACATGTTGTAAATACAAGGTGTTAGAGAAAACATAGGAAGGGGGTGGTGGAAATCACTCAGACCTATTACAAGCGCTGGAGGGGGAGGACACAGGATGTAGGTTATCACAGATAAACAAACGGATGTAGATTATCACAGATGAACAAACCACTTCACCTGCAGTCAGACCCTGTCATGAGGGATGCGTCCATCACTTGCCAAGTGACTTAAAAAGTTGCCTTAAAAATAACTGTCATCAGTGAATTCTATCTATTATCTATCCCATATTGCATCAACTTAAAAATGAATAATCATTTTTGTCAATATCAACCAGGAATGAATTGATGCATGCACTGCTCACAGTAATAGATACTGAAATAAATGTATATGAAGATATTTTACATTAGTGCATTAGACTTGTTACATCTGTTTCACATGATGAGCTTCACATCTAAGACCATTGTCTTAAAGCGAACTGTCAAACAAGATACAAGCGAATGAGAGACAAAGAGTATAAGCTTTGCGCAAGGTTTACCATTGCAGACATAAATGTTGTGCTGTTTGGGTAAATTGTTTACATAGTTCACGTGCTTGAAGATACCAGTCGACACAAAACAAAACTGACCAGGAGGGAATGCAAAACTGAACAAAACTTCCAAACGGTGCAAAGATGCAGCCGCGCACCATCTGCAAAAACACGTGTTTCGTTGTTTGCATTTTGTTTATTTTGAAACAGACGTTTTCTTACCTGTCTGACTGAGCAACAAAGTTGCCAGGGCTCCGCACAACACTGCGACCAGATGCATCTTGGTACCCCGCTTTTCTCTCACTCCTCCAGGCTTCTTTCTCCCTTTTTCCTTCTCCTTCTCCGAATGAAAAAGATTCAACGCCCGGCTTTCACGCTAACTTTATAGCATGACTGACTCTTTAACGCCTTTCCTCACCCGGCCCCTCTCCGCAAAGTGCGATAAGGCAACAAAAAGGGATTGAAAAGTTAAGTAATAGAAGACAGACGCACTCTCCAGCATGTTATGTTCCGACCACGGCCGCTGGAGCTACCAAAAGAGACTGTGGAACGTACCACATGGGAGCTCCGGGGGAGAACGCGCAACTACAGAGCTACAAACAAGCCACAATTCTAGTAAACAATCAACGCTGATTATTATTTTTTAACTAGAATTGTAATAGAATACAAGTTATATTAAATAAATCAGCCGTTTTGTTGTTTGCATATGTTTGTTTTTGGAATTTCTTGACATACTTCTGCATCTCTGAATAAATGGTATTGTCCCAAATCTGTACTGTGGTTGTGTCATTTCTTAAATTACATTCTTTTTAAAGAGGTTGGTGGTCAACAAATCAAAGGATAATTACTGTCCGATTTAACTTAAAACTGAAACAACCTCCAAACTGTGAATGCCTTGGAAACGTTTCTTAGTCTATAGATGAAGAAGAAAACATGATGTTGATGATGATGATGAAGATCAAGAAGAAAAGAAAACAACTTTGTTGTTAACTAGAATGTACACTGAAAATTAGGCTACATAGCCTGGATTGAGTGTACAATTACTCTTATCAATAGTTGTTTCTAATTATCTGAAAAGATCAGGTCAATGACATAAAGAGCAAGTCTTTGTGGAGGCAGTCATGTTTAATAACCATACATTTGATATAATACTTTTGTGGTTCATGAATTTTTACTTTCTTAGAATATTACCGCAGGGAATCGTCATTTCCAACAGGAATGTTTTCATGAAACATGAAACTATCAGAGACTAGCAGTTGCAATAAACAATATAACAGACCCTAGGTGAAAAGACTATATTCTAATTTACCATTTGTTCCTGTAAAGATTGCAGTGTGATCAAAGACTAAACAGGAACAGTATACTTTTTCTTGAGTCACAGAACAGACAATAAACAATAGTCATAAACACTGACCAGTCAGCCCCAATAAAATCTTTTATTACCTTATACAAACAGCATGATATACGGTATACTATATTACTGAAATTATATCCAGATGTGATAAGCAGACTAACAGGTAACATTTGGTCTAAAAGGCAGTTAGGGGGATAAAGGAACATTTTAAAGTTTAAAATGTAATGATTGCTGGAATTATTCTGATTTTGATTTTAGAAGATTTTTACACAATAGAAAATATGTTGTTTTTTTTAATTACTGAATTCAGTTAATCTGGTTTTCTATTACCTTATTAGAGGCAGTTTTTGTCTGACTGTCTCAAGTTAAATCAAACATCATTATTCAGCACAAGACTTCTCTGCAGTCCCTTGTGATTCATTTGTCAGACTACATTTTATCCCACTTAAAGTGGTCCCCATCCTCTCTCATTCATGATTCACTATTGAGGAGTTTATTGAACAATGTCTTTCGCAAAGAGTTGAAATAACCATTTAAAAGAAAAGTAGAAAAAGACATTGTTGGGTTTTTTTTACAAGAAAGAATAATACAGCAGCTTACTTCAATAACATGCACTTTTTAAAAAATGCTATTAAAAACATATTTTTTGTAAACGTTTTAGTCCTCCATTGACTTATGAAAAACATATTAGGTTAGTTTGAAAAGGAAAAATAACTTAAGTACTAAAGAGAAGTTTGATTTGACAAATTGATCTACTTGCTGTTTAAAATGCAGCTTTTTACTCATTACTATCTTTACAAATCCCACAATAAACTGAGAAACAAAGCCCAAATAATGTGTGGGAAGAAATGACATGCTGTACTAAAAAGAACATGTACCGTTCATGTCCAAATTTATTGAATGAAACTAAAGACAGAATCAGTTTTTGATGTGGCTTTAGTACTTTGTGTACTGGATGATCCAGGACTGAGATGTGGACCAGACTGTTTGACTGCAGTCTGAGTAGAGAGCAGCTGCTGCCACTACAAGCTTACAACCTGTCTCTGGGTGAAAAGATGGAAACTTTTAATTTTAACCTTTGATTAATGTGATTGCTGTGGGCCAACAGCTTGTCAGAGCAACACCACGGGCCTTTGTTCAACCAAGAGTCTCCCAGTCTCAGCTGACAGACAGAGAGAGAGACCTTAAAGCTATACTGTATAAGAAACCAATGAATGTATTGAATCTTGGCCAGTATCTACTCATGACTTACATTACACGTAGCGTAACATACTGGTCCAGCTGTTGTTGGTCAGTAAAGACATCACTGAAGAAGATGAGAAACAGAACCTGAAGGTTATTTGAGGCTCTTTGTCCATGCAGACAACTGCACAACGAACTTGTCTAACAATACATGAGGCCACATATGGACCTTCAGTACTTACCTTATATACAGTATGTATAAAATAAAGCACATATTCTTTTACAATGTAATACCTTTCACCTTGTAGCATGTGCATCACATGGTTGTAGAAGAAAGCGTATACTTCAATGTCATTGTAAATGTGTTTCAAAAGTATGGACATGTTTTTGAATCAGGCTAAGGTTAACTGTAGGTGAGGTTGGTTAATTGAGATAGCTACAAAGTTAGACACAGGCTGTAGGAAATGAATGTGAGTCAAGCAATGACCTCTGAGTGTGTGTGCGTCTGCCAAGAACAGAACAGCTGTTGGCTTATCACTTTAGCCCTTGCTGATAAATAAAGAATAGTGCTGTGGGGGAATGGGGGGTGGGCACCACATAGAAGATCAGACAACTGCTGGAAGTTATTTTTAAGTTTTATGTGTAGTTATGCATGTGAAGAATGTGTGTTAAAAAATCCCCCCCCCCCCCCCCCCCCGCTTAAAATGTGTGTGACCTCTGTCTCTTTGTGACAAAAACATGACCTTTCCTTTCATCACCATCCATTAACATTCCACTATGAGATTAACACAGGAACAGATTAATTTCCGTGAGCATGTTGCCTTCTCTCACACATTTTGACATATTAAATTAATTTGATCTGTTTGGATTTGAACAATGTTTTGGATGGTTTAATATCTCTATAAGATATTTAATTTACAAGGAGGTGTATACAAAGCAAGTGAAGGCAAGTATGGTGGTCATCCTAATCAAATGTGTGTGTGTGTGTGTTTGTGCTGATGTATCAGCACCTCCCTCTTCAGAATAATCTATAATCTTTTAGAACTTCGGAGGATTAAGTAACTAGTATTGTGTTTGGTAAACACAGATCTTGTAGCTGTTAGCTGAAAGGAGTTTGGCTGCTGTAACCTGTGAGTCAGGTTGGTTGGACTAACATCATGTCCTTTAATAATGTGCACTCTAATGTGGAAACATTATTTCACAATAAAAAGGTATACAATAAACTTTTAACATTTAGCAGATAGATATTTGTACGTGTGTTCATGTATGAGTGTGTTTGTCTGGACCTTACAGTTGTCTTAAAGGAACATACATTATTTCTAAGCAGTAAAACAAACAAAGAAAAATAAACATCACAATTATATCCTGAGAACTGGGTGAACCACAAGCACAGAGGTTCGTCCCTCAACGCATTTCATGATAACCATTAACCAACCAACCAACAGCAAATCATAACATATAGATTCTTCCCTTGTCTTAGAACCATTTGGCTGTCTCGCGATAAAGAAGAAGGGGTATACGTAAGAAGGACCTTAGTGTAGCTTACACAGAATACAATACAATAAAAGTGACTACTAGATCTCTGGTTAAACAAACCTTCAAATAAGAGTTAACGATTCTCTGTTGTCCCTGGACGCAATGACCACCTTAATTATATGTTAGAAACCACCAGAATGGCTCCTTCCTTCTCTTCTCTCTCTCTCTCTCTCTCTTTCTTTCTCTCGCTCGCTCTCTCACACACACACACACACGCACAGTGTGTGTTTTGGTGTGGTGTGGTTCAGAGCCCAGCAGCCTGTTTTGTGGCCTGTTTAAATACAGGGCTTTTCTGTGTGAGGTTTATTTTTGTGGATGTTCTCCTCTCCCCATGTTCTCAACGTACAATAGAGTCGTTTACATGTGGCCAAAATCAAACAGAGAGTGACATGGCTGCAGTCTTATGCCTCGCTCTGTTGGCCGTTGGAAGCACCACGACTCGGTTTTGACCACATGCTTGTCCTCGGTCACAATGAAAAGAACTTTTATTCTCAAAAGCAAATCAGTGCAATTTTCAGTGTCCTATCCTTACATTTTCTTCTGACCCATTTTGTTTAACATTTAAGTATGACTGTCAACATGTCTGCTGAGATTGTCAACTGCAGGGGTTTCCACAACTTTTTGGCTTGCTACAAATAAGGAGCAACTTTTCCACTTCTCCTAATGTCTGAGATCTTTGCTCGGTGATCACAGTCACTCCTTTGGCAACCTTAGCTTCATTTACTGCTTCTTTGTTCTTCTTCCACTTTCACTAGCTTTTTTAGGCTCCATGGGGATTTATGGAATAATAAAACAAGAAACAGCACAGTGCAAGAAATACTGGCAAAATCAAACAACAGTTCCTCGTGCGTATATCCTGAGCACAGATTGAAGTCACACACTCAGTCTTAGTGATCACTTGCTGCCCGCCTGATTTTGTTGGCTTGTTCGTCAACCGAATTATGGTACGACAACCAGTACAAAGGTTAAAACATTTGGTCATGAATTGAATTTTTTGAAAAGGGAAGCGTTCAAAAACTAAGGTTCCACTGTATTTGTGTAAATTGAACATAGCATGTACATTACTGATTAAATGCATGTAGTTCGACGGCACAATATGATACAATTCTTTCAGTATATGGTCACTACTACACAATACAGTATTATACTGTACTTATTTATGTATATTTTTACTGCTTATGATGTACCAGCACTTCCTTATCTACTGGTAGATCTTGTTCTACTTAAGGGGCACCCCTGGTCTCTGCATCACAACTGCATGTAACATTGACTGTACATGTTGTTATTGACTAATTCTTAAAAGCAAAAATGTGTTTCTTAACATGTGTTTTCTTAAAAATCATCTTGCATGGTTCACTATATATATTTGTGCAGATGCAAATATCCATCATCTTTACACAGATCTTAGCTAAAGCATCACCTGTTAAAACATTCAGTCTTTTTGTACAGTGTCAT